GGATGGACTGTTTTTTGGTTTCGCGTTCATACTTTGCCAGCAAAGTAAGAGATAGTTCAAAGAGTGATTTACTACAAAAACCAACCTATGCAACTATCTTTATTGAGCAGCTACGAGCATGCCACAAGTGCTTATTCAACACGACAATATCATAGAGCATGACACGTCATTTAAAAATAAATGGAGTTAATTATATATTATGTACTGCACGTCACAAGGTGCTTTATAGTGCTGCTAACGAAAAAATGCTTCCGCCAATACCTTTATGAACATTTGAAAAATATATTACAACCGATTTTCTCTTGTACTACCTGAAACAACTTGAGACAACAAAAAAAGTCGATCTTGTACGAAATATCTTATCTTGTATTTAATATAGATTCACTGGAGAATATTATAGATTTTGACAAACTTTGAATAATTTATGGGTCGGAAAAGAAAATTCAAAATGTACCAGTATACGACATAACAAGCTTTCCTAGCTTTGATAGATCTTTAAGCCAGATATTATTCCATGCACTAACTGGGTGTGACACAGTGTCTTATTTTGGAAGGTGCGACAAAAGAAAACTGCATTGGATGTCCGGAAATTAATTCATCCTCAACGGACTATTGAACCCAACAATTACATCGTTAGAAGAAAACATCACAAAGCAATTTATGGACGTTATTGAGAGGTTTGTGTTACTGTTGTATCATCGAAAGAAAAGGAAACTGATACAAACTGATTAAATATTTATGCAAATATGCAAAGGAATAGTCAGTGCAAGTACTTTAAAGGCAATCTGTATTTAAACGGCAAATATGCACATATAAAGTGAGCATCTCTGTTTTTTTGGTCAGCTGTCATTTGCATAAAAGTCATTGGTAAAAATCATAGATATAATAGTCAATTAGTCATAGATTGTGATGCATGCATAATAGCTGGGGCCATCATGAGTAATCCAATATGGCGGCGTCAATAGGACAAAAGATATATCGATTGTATTACAAAAACGAATTTTTTTGCAGTTCTTACCAAAGTATTGTTTCGAAATTTATCCAATCAAAGTTTAAAAAAGAGGAACATACAGCGATTGTTTTAAGCATATATTTGAGTGAATTCAATAAAAACTATCGAAATTGTCCACTGATAACAGTTTGTGTAAAATGGTCACTTGGTCAATTCCAGTGTTTTATTGCCAGGAATATGATGATATGTTGACATCTGGCATCTCGAATAGAATAATAATAGAGCCAACATTCTTAAGGCGGCTGAGGTGTAGTGATGGAATGAATCATAGCAATTGCACTCCATACTTGAGGAATCATCTATCATTGTGTAGACAATTATCTAAATATAATCCAGCGGGCTTGTCTGGTGTTTATTGTAAAATTTGTTGCATTGGTTTGTAATAAATTAATGCTATTTCAGTTTAAATAGATAATTAAAATACTATACCATGTCATGTGTCTTGTGTGTGTGTGTGCTATATATGTAATACAATCTATTGAACCAAACAATTACATCGTCAGAAAAAAACATCACAAAGCAATCTATAGACGTTATTGAAAGGTGTGTGTTGCTGTTGTTTCAACGAAAGAAAAGGAAACTGATACAAACTGATTAAATATGCATGCAAAGGAAAAGTCAGTGCAAGTACTTTTAAGGCAATCTGTATTTAAACTGCGCTTTGTAATATGACTTTTATCCATTACATTTTTACGACAGCTGTACGACCAATTTCGTATGAAAAATCAGTTTCCTCGTATTCGCAATTTATTGATTGGAACTTTACTGAACTAATTAGCAAACAGTTCATGTTCAATCGATGCAGACAAATGAACCAGTAAAATTGTCTGAATGTTCTGTTTTAAGAGCATGATACACAATTCAAGTTGAAAAAGCTAGATGTCAACAAAGCACAATCTTTCTGACAATAAACGCAGGAATTGACCAAGTGACCATTTTACACAAACTGTTATCGGTGGATAACTTGCGAGTTTTTATTGAAATCACTCAAAAACATGCTTAAAATAATTGCTGTGTTTTCCTTTTTGAAATAAACTTTTATTCGATGAATTTCGATACAATACAATGGCAAGAACTGCGAAAAACCTCATTTTTGTAATACAATCTACATATCTTTTGCCCTGTTGACGCCGCCATAATGGATAATCATGATGGCCCAACGCGCACACATATAATATGTACTTTACCTATGACTACTACATCTATTGTAAAAATAGATATTTTAATATGGCGCAAAGCTCAAATTTAAACACGGTTAACAATTACAGACTTGTATTGTCATGTTATATCGCAAGCTAAGCAAAGAAGATAAAAAATTGAACATGTTTTGTATATTTTAACTAGTCTGAATCAACATATTTTAAAAATGTCTGTTGTAAAAGCACTTCTACTTTGTTTTGAAAAAATGCAGCAACCCTTATTCAACGTTGATTGTTATTCTTTCAATAATATTACACGACGCCTTCCCTTTATCGCGTTCCAAAATTTGTTGTGAGCAAAACGCGAACGCCAAATTGTATTCGACACATGCAAAATATAACGTTTGAAACAGGCCTTATTATGCGATGCCCGATGTTACTAAAAGATGTTAGATACAACCACATTCACGTAGTGATTAGCAGCTGACCGTGCGAGTACGGGCAGATTAAGAAAAAAAGGTACATATAGCGTACATATGGATTTAATTTTAAAAAGACAAAATACGATTAACAAGTCTTCAATTTACCTATTGACAATATTCTAATTAAAGAGTCAAGCACAATCCTTAATTAACATATTCATAAGCAATATACTTAAATTTGAAAGTTGCTTTTTATCGAGGAAATAAATTGAATTTAACTGATTGAAAATGAACTATTAGTTTGAAAAAATTACGATAACCGTAAAACAGAGGGAAACGAGAGCAAAGATGAGCCTAACCTCCATGGTCTTAGCTTTATACTGTTCGATCACTAATATATTACTTCTATTCGCTTACTATCTCCACCGTCTGTATTCCGGCTGACCTTTATTGTCATATCTCTATTCTCATCTGTCGAAAATCATTCGACTAGCAAACACACAACTTGAATGAAAAATTTTGATATATTTATAAATATACCATATAATAATTGAAAACCATATTTAGGGTTGATACAGCATGAAAAAAGGCGTATACAGTCAAGAAACTTAGACACTTCTCAAAAGCCAAGACCTCTTGTATGTGAAGACACATTTACGACCTTTCCTTAGCGGAGGTGAATACCAAAACAACCTTCACAAACAACATTATAAACTGTTGTAAGCGGTTGCACTTGATCTATTTTCGGTCAAATTAGTAATTATCCCAACAAATTGACATATTACGGTATATAAATAATGTTGTTTTGTAATGCATGAAAATTCTTTCGTCTCCTTCATTTTTCTTCATAAACGACTACAGTTTCTTCTCCAGTTTTGCGCATTTATGTTCCTCAAAGAAATTTTTTTCATGTCATTTGAACTTTAAGCATTGTGTCTATACAATGACAATATACATGATGAATTTGTTATTTGATAAAGTCTATGGACTCAAACGTTTCACTGTACAGATGGGCAGTCGTTATCAAGCATATAATCATATTTCAAAACATTGTAAAAATATGACTGATATTTAAAAAAACTTTTATAATTATGCAAAAATTAACAAGCCTCTCATAAGCGGACACCTCCGACAAAAGAACACTGAGTCATGGGTGGTAAGTTCGATTGCATTCATTGAATATAAAAATGCTTTGAAACGTCTATGCCTATATAGAGTAAAGAATGTTCTGAATTTTCTTCCTTGATGTTTTCCATCGTTACAAACATTTGCTGGCACGGTTGAAACTATCAAACACAATAGTGGTCATTTTACGAGCGTGATTAACACTATCGTACTTACGTCATTTGCATTGAATATCAAAGTTTATTACATGTTATTTTGCTATGACATGATTTCTTTGCACGAAATTTTCAAAACATGTCTCGCATACATTTTACTTTTCTTTCAAGGATTAGGCATGGAAATTTTTTGTGAGAGCAAATTTCTGGTTGTTGGCCGTTATTCATGTGTATTCAGTTATTCCTGACATTTGAAATGTCCCATGAAAACAGAGAACAGGAAATATTATACCGTGATTTTACGCCTTTTAAAAGAATAAAAATGCAAATTAAGAACTTTCAAATACACTAAATGAATGAATCGAAATCTTCCCAGTCACATAGACTTCAAGCAAGACAGACATGAAAGGTGAAAGCATGTACAGGATCGCAGTTAAATGTTGGGTTACCGTTGAAGTAACAGTCATTTTTGCTATTTGTAGCATATTTTATTATATTCCAGGTGAGAAACCTACGTTGTTTATATGTCACGCCTTAACCATAACAATCATTCGTTTCTTTGGTCATTTTTTCCTGCAATGCAGGCAAATAAGCTCAAGCTAAAATTTACAAACCATACAGATGTAAAATTTTATAAACTAAATATGAAGATAGCAGAAGTAAAAAGCTTGAAAGCTCTGTAAAGGGGGCCTAAAATTTAGACCTCGCAGAACAATGGTCAAGCTAGTAACGGTGGATCAAATTGCTTTTACAAGTTCACATAAAATTTCGGAATTCGTAGTTTAAAATGGCATATACATTATGGATACTCGTATATGGATATAAATGTAATACAATCTTATGTTAGACAGCTAGTTCATACGTATTTTGGGCAGCATAAAATTTTTGTAGGCATTTGGACTGTTCTTAAATTCAAATGTGGGCTTTGTGCTGCTTGTCCAATCAACCATAAAACTTTTTTCTAATCACATACATATTGTCTTGATAAACAAGTACGTCCTTTCACACAACAAAAAAGCCTTATAATGGTGCACTAACTCTCACACCAATATATGGCATCTCTTTCTTTTTTCTGTCAAAATGATCATGATTAATGTTTTATGATTTTCATGAATAACTAGGTTTAGGGTTTGTGCTCGAGAACGGTATGAGAAAGGTGACGGGATTAAATATCCCTAAAACCAACTACTGGGAAACATTTCTTGGATGGGAAATGTTTAAATCAGTTTGGAAATCAAGAGTTGTCGATATTACAAAGGAAATGCGAAACGGACTGGAGGCACAAAATGTTCCCTTGGTAACACCTGATGGAAAGAAATGTGTGCGTTTACTTGATTTACTTCAAGCTGAGAGAGCATTAGTCGTGTACTTTGGCAGTTGTAGTTGCCCAGTGTTTATGAATAAACTGAAATAATTTGGTGTTCTAGCTCAAGACTTTTCAGATATCGTGGATTTTGTCGTTGTATATATTGAAGAAGCTCATCCAATTGATGGGTGGTCTTTCAAGGTAAATTCTTTTATTTCTTCAACATAATTTTGAATTGATGAAATTCGTAGAGTTATATTATAGCTACGTTATTCATTATGAAGAATAGTTTTTCCAGTATAACATGAATGAAACGGCTACAGCAATTTCGTGATTTATAAAACATTCTTTGTATAACCATAATAATAATAACGAAGCATATAAATTTCATCGGGTAAAAATCTTTTGCAAACACTCATATTATTTTAGTAGGCTATATAGCCAGACAATATGTTCTGCTGACATAATAATAGCTTTTTATCTTACTGATAAAATGGGACCTTTTCAAAGGCAGAAATAGTGAACTTCTGTTGAACTATACTTTCATTAGGCAAAAACAAAGATGTTGTTTGAAAAAGAATCGTCCCTTTCATTATTTGACAATCTTTTGTGTATAGAAAAACATGTCTTAAGATTTCTTGATAAAGTCATGAAGGAAGCTAATTTCACTTCATTTTAGAATAACTTTATCAAAGTACGAAAGCATCGAAATCAATATGAAAGATGCAAAGCCGCGCAAAAGCTACAAGAACTCAATCTTCCATGTCAAATAATGGTAGATACAATGGACGACAATGCAAATGTGGCCTATGGAGCGTTGCCTGAGAGACTCTACGCCATCGAAGAAGGTAAAGTCGCATACGTGGGCGGACAGGGACCAATGAATTCATCAATGAAAGCAGCACGTGACTGGCTAGAGTCATATCGCGAGAAAAACACATTCAGAAGATGGACAATCTAACCCAGCGAGCAAGAACTGTACAGAATGCAAACTTCGTATAATGACATTTTGACACATTTTGGCCTTGAGGTTGAGACTGTTGTTTCTTTATCCCAAAACACAAAACTATAAACATGGATATGAGTATTTCTGGAACTAAAAATTATTGATGTCAAGTCAAAATGGAGAGCAAATATACCCCGTCCAGTATAAAATAAAGCTTTGCTTGCAGTGATGAACGAATGCTTTATCGTAACATGTTCAAAGTTCGTGATTTACATGAAGCAGACATTTCAAAATGATATTTTCTCGTAGACGTTGCTGACACGAACTGAGTGCGAGAACAGGGCGTTTTTTTGTATTCGCACATTAAGGTTAGCATAGAAACCAAACGAAACCACCAACGGCTTTTGTTGCTAATGACCAGGTCTGAAAGATTAACGTTCGACATACGTATAAAGGACTTGGGTTTCTGCCGTTTATAAAAAAAATCACTGGGGAGTTTTGGTCAAAACAGGCAACCGAGGCAATTGAAATCTATCGCAAATACCAGTTTTTGCATGTCAATACTTGGGCATCATTTAAGGTTAATGGCAAAAGTTTTAAGTCGTAGGATAGACATGCAAACCTGCCACTTTTAAATCAATTTATAGACAATAGTGATGGAAATTAGTATGGATAAGTTTAAGGAGCCAGTATTGAAAGACATATAATTGTATTACGTATTGTATACAAAAATGAATCAGAAATAAGTTTGAAAAAGGTAGAAACATTTTTATGAGGTACAGTTAACGCTCTTGAGGGCATTTACGTGAAAGTTATATTCTTAATGTGCAAGAGAGAACCAATAATTTAAATATGCAAATGATACAATGGTTGGCTACAAGCGCAAGCCAAAAACTAAGTTTCAAACGACTTTCTCTCCCTTACAATTTGTAATAGACCGTATAATTTCACCATTCAACTGTCAAAAAGAACTGCTCAATTTTCTTATTTTATTTGGGAAGACGTTATAGCCTATAATACAAATTTACATTCTGTTGTTAATCATATTTAACCACGGTTAGATGTCCTACAACAGTCACAAATGACATTTGACGTATATATATATGTTTGTATATGTAGATCACCCATGACAATAAAGTCCTAAGAAGGACTGTTCGTGTTGATGTTGACTGACGTTTCGACAACCTTAGCGGTAGTCATCTTCAGAGTTCCCGGGTTCAAACCATTCACTTTAAGACATATATAGTCGAACTTCATTCCAACAGCACTTAGTGAAAGAAAAATTATTTAGTGGATAAGAAGAATCTAAACAAATTACTGAATTATACGTCCAAAGCCAAGAATCAATGTTGAATGTCGTGGAATGGTATTGGTAAGGTCGAAAGATCAATGCTACTCCAAAAGCGAACTAGCTAGTGAAGTGGGTTACAGCTAAAGAAATGTCAGTGACTATGTAGCGAGTAAGAACTGTGGAAACTATGGTCCAAAACTAAAATCCCAAGAATGAACAGTGGGAGAGTACCCACATTGCTTGGGAAATTATCACGTGACAGCCTAAAATCCTTCATAGGTATATAGCATGGCTGGAGGAAGGCTTACCAAATACTATTTAGTTGGTGGTTTTCATAGATTGACTTTACACTCTCCAGCAATTGGCTATAACGACATGTTTTGAGTTTTTTTTAGTGTATAATTACAATGTTTATTATACATTGAAATATTTACAAATCACCTACAACTCATTTCACATATTTTATTAAAACAGAGATAAAATATTTTGGTGTAAGTAAGTTGTTATTGAGAAAGCGTAACGTTATTGTGAAGTGGTTTTACTTTATGGTTTCTTGATAGCCCTACATGTAATGGTGGACCTGGATTCTTAATTTTAACACCGCTAAGAAAAAAAGAACCGCTGGTTTTGTTTGTAAACAGTTTAGGTGAAGAAAATGTTGAGATTGTCCCCTCATTTTTCATATGCTTAACGCTCTCTTTAGAAGAATTTACAGGTGATGACTTTTTCTCCTTTGTACCAACGCAAGAAAATGTGGAAATTTTCCCTTCATCTTTCAAATGCTTAACGTTCTCTTTCGAAGAATTTATAGGCAATGACTTTTTCTCCTTTGTACCAACAACAGGGGTGCTTTGTAGTCGGATGACTCATTTTAAAACAAATGTGTATCAAAAATTTGTTATTATAAGCACTCGTCAGAAGAAAAACTAATAAGAATAACACGAAAGACAAGCTGCGAGCAAATGCAATTACGTATGTATCAAACTGTTTTGAGATTTTGATTGTATAATCATGCCAACTGCATTTTGGTTATTTCATTATATGCAAATAGGACACTTGAAATCAATGACAATTTTTATAAATACAAATATAAAAGCCTACCGGAAAACATATGACTCCCACCAAACATTTTCTTGCCGTTCTTCAGGTTCACAATTTTTTCTTCATTGGAATCACTTTCGACATCATTGTCATGAATCTTGTTCACTTTAGCACTACTCTTAGCAGGTGTCACGTGCATCGCAGGTGTCGCGTGCATCATCATCTTAATTAGATTAAATGAGTAAGAGAACAATCAGCAATATATGTACATGGTACTGCATCTTACATAATAATGATCATGTATTTTCATTTTGAATCACACACTACAATATCATGCAAAAAGTCAATTAGAAAGTTCATTACACCATTAAAAGTAGTACTACATGCAACACATCACTATCTTCATAGGTACATCACTATCTTCATATGTACATCACTATCTTCATCCATACATCACCACCTTCATAAATCCCCACTCCACCTTTATGTATCCCCACCCTATCTTCATACATCCCCACCATCATACATCCAAACCTTCATGCATCCACAACTTGATTCTTCCTTAACTTTATAAATACCCACCCTTATACATACACACCTTCATCCATACACACCTTCATCCATACACACCTTCATCCATACACACCTTCATCATTACACACCTTCATATGTCCGCACTTTTAAACATTCCTAATTTTAAGGCTACCCAGTTATAACTGTGATTGATGGATATATGCTACTATGTGCCTAAATTCAACAGTTAAATTCAGACAACTAAGAGTGGTTACTAGTTTATGAAACTCTGAGAAAATCCTTCTGTCCTCATTTAGGACAGTATAACAAAGTTGTCATTTTCAAAACTTGTGCTTTTGACTGATTACTCTGTAAACATTATGACTTTAAAATTAAGGGCTTTGTGATGGGGAAAAAGAGTCTTACTAAAAATGTGAATTTGAGGTCAATGTAAGACAGCATTATATAATGCTTAACAATGAAAAACTTTAAAAATTCTAAAATCATTGTTTGAATTGGATTTACTTCATTACTGCGTAGATTAGGGCAGCTTCCCAACCTTTTTTCCTCTTTCATGATGTAATCACTTTTCACAGTTTCATTTATAATTTTACATACCGATACCTTCACTATTTATTTTGATATGACTGCTTTCATTTTGTCCAACATCATTATCCTTTCTGTCACAAGGTGTACTTATTAATGACATTTCAATTGCCTTTTCTATATCTCTTTGGTACAAATTTTCACGTACGGAAGGCCTTACAATAGAAAAAAAATCTCTTGACGTTGTTGTATCACACATTGAAGAAATTAGTGTGTACATTGGATTACACAAGGCAAAACAAAGGCTTATAAAGGATTAGAGATCTACAACAATATCTGTGTAAAACAGCACGATGCCGTTTAGCCAAAATTAAAAATCTATATATGGGTCACACCTTCTCTCGCCTTTCTTCTCTTTGTTCATTTCCTTCTCTTTATGCTTTGCCTTCTTTGTTTGTGGTTGAAAATCAACTTCAAAATCATCTGAAACATATCATAAACTTAGTAATTTAAAACAAGAGAAATCTATAGAACATGCAGGCATGACATTGAAAAGGAAGTAAAGTATGGATCCCCGTATATATTTATTGCATATCTACCAAATTAATAATCTCAACTTTTTCACAATAAAACAATGTAAAATGTTTAATAGTGCACTAGATCAATCATGCAGCCAGTAAATAATTGTGGGGACTACATTCAAATTTGTTGCATCAGTATTTTTTTGAACAGTGTCTATGTAGGTACATGTAAACTGATATAATATAAAATGTACCCGTCTCCTAACTATGTAAACCAGAGTGTATAAACACATACTTTACTATAAAACAGAGCAATTATAATTTTCATTAATAGCTACGTAGCTATGAGATCACTGTATGTACAATACATTACCATCACTTTCACAACTGGAGCTCATACCAGTATAATTAACATTTTTTCTCCCTTTCCTACAAGAGATGATGGGAAAAATAAAACACGAGTAAAGCTAATTGCTTGTAGATGTAGATCTTCTAGGTTAGAGCAGTCCTGAAAACGACTGTTGGTGTTGTCAATGATTGACATTTTGACATCCTTTGATCATCAGAGTCAAGTAACACACCAACACCAAGAATTCTTTTCAGGACTGCACAAAGCTGGACGATCAACATCTAAAAAATATAACATAATAGATAATGAAAATAATAAATTCTAATATGAAAATCGTCCCTGCTTTATTAATTACCAATATTGTCAACCAACAGTAAAACATGTTTCACACATACGTCAAAATAGTGATAGTACAAATTTGAATCAAGTGACAAATTTTAAAATTCATACCTTTTAGATTTTCGCTTAGAGGTCATCTTTAATGCATATTTACAAAATTAAAAAATATGCTATCAGAGAAAATACTAATGAAGTTAGGATTCAAGTTTAACTTCTCCTGGTTTTAACATGACTTTCATTATGTAGTTGAATAATCTTATAAAGTTTCGCGCCTTGGCGTCATTACACTGGATCATATCCATCAGGTGGTCATTTGTCACATTGACACAAACAATAACAACCTTTCTCTTGATTTCAACCTCCGTTTTCTTCCTTTTTGTGTTGTTTTCAATTTTGCGTTATATTTAGTTCAATGCATTGACACAAACAATAACAACCTTTCTCTTGATTTCAACCCTCCGTTTTCTTCCTTTTTTTGTGTTGTCTTTTCAATTTTTGCGTTGACTTTATCAAACTCTGATCGAATATAAGCATGAACGAAAATTGTAGTAGATTTTCATTCCTAAATCCTAATGTGTATCAAATGTTGTTTGATCTTTAACTTATCAACGTTTTTAGGGTGGGCGAACTACGTAATTTTCAATTTTAATAATTATCATTCCTTACTTTGTTTCATTCACAACGTGTTTCTATTTTCATTCTAATTAATTGACATTTGCCTCATTTGTATGGCAAGCTATTTCGGAAAAAAGGTGGTCGAGAAAAAAATCTCCGTTGAGAAAGCAAACCGATGTTGAGAAAAACGTGTCTATCATTAAGAATTTGCAGATGGCAGTTCAGTAAAGCAAATATATTGTGAGAAAAAATTCCCGGTCGAGAAAAAAATCTCGGTCGAGAAAAAAATCCCGGTCGAGAAAAAATCTCGGTCGAGAAAAAAATCCCGGTCGAGAAAAATCTCGGTCGAGAAAAAAATCCCGGTCGAGAACCAGTGCACGCACTACCTAAAGACTGGACATAAGGCAGACGAGGGCTGTCATGTAGCACTGCATATTTGGTACTAATATGAATTTCGGACCACTTTCAACAGAACAATCATCAGCACAATTCATCACCGCATTCAACTGAAATTTATTGATAAAAACAATAAAGCAATAAACTCCTGTTTAGGGACTTACTCCCCTTTCTCTGCCTGGTCTATTTTGAATGATAAATTTTATTTGAATATGATGATGATTATTGTGATGACTGTTGTGTTGAATGTGGTGCCCATATGTGGGTGACCATCGTGGTGCCAAATTCACAGTAGCAATTGTAAGATGGATGCGAATGCGAGTAACGGGTCACCAAGAACAGGTCAACTTATTAACAACATTTTAGCTCAAGTCGAAGAATTGTCAGAAGTTATTTCACCATGTCGTGAAAACTCTGAATTATCGTCTATAAACGAGGAAGTGGCGCGATCTTTTAATCGCGGAGGCCGAGGACATGACATAAATTTACAACAATCAACAGCAATGTCGAGCACAGGTACCAGTTTTGCCACCGTTTCGTCCATAAAACCAAGGCAATATTTTCCTGTTATGAAGTATAACAAGTGAATTTTGAACAGCAGCAGCTCCTCAAGGAAAAAGCAATAAAAAATGAAGAAGGGGCCAAGTGGTCCTTTCATACGAGACATAGTCCTTTTGTCAGGGCCAAATGTAAACGTTGTCCCCCGCCAAAGCGCAAGAGTCAATCTAGTGGAAAATGGTCATACTTTTTTAGGCTTCCAGCTGATGAAAGAATGGAAGGGATGTGAAGTAGAGATGCATGTGAGAAATGCGTTTGGTGACAAACTAAAAGATCACAATATAGATATTGAAATCGTAATGTCGGTCCACAATACATTGCATCCACCCTGTCTTGCACCGAACCAAACCTTAAATGGCTTCATGGTGCACAAAGTGTTCAAAGATAAACCAATTTATGTCAGGCCATCAGTACAGATATTGGAACCATTAAGCAACAGAATCAACAAACCTGAACATTTGAATGATCAAGAGGACCTGTGTATTGTGCAGGTATGCTTGTCTTTTCTGCCTTTTCATTTTTTCAAATACATTCTGCTAGAAATGAATTTACGAATTAGTCATTAAACATCATTTTTTATTGTTTGTTCTTTTCTTCAACATTTTTTCGTTGTAAAGGAAGAATCATGATAATTTTTTATTTTCATATGTAATAGGATGACGCAAGTGATGATGAGTTTCTAAGATCTGCGTTTACTAATGAACCTCCTTGCATGTCTTCATATCAACATCCTGGAGTTGAGGAACGCAGTGAAATGGAAGTGACTAATAATCCACCTGCTGTCCAAGAAACCTCTTTGCCATCTGTTGGTACTATTTCAGACTGTTCTCACAACAATGGAAATGTTCAGAATGAAGTTCAACCAGAAGATCCAAATTCTGTTGATATGTCCAATATTTCTGGTATGTTTGTTAAAACATTATTTTGCATCAAAATGAAGTCAAAGGTTTAAGCTGGATTGTTTGCCTTTTGTTATTTGTGATATTTACATCATAAAGTTCTACTGCTGAAGATTTTGCTGTTACACATGTTTAATGAGTTATTGTTGAATTCATTTTGTTATTTGTAAATCAGTCTTTAGACCTTGGATATACCTTTACTACATGTTTTTTCAAATTAAGCATTCCGCCCTTAATTTTGCATTATTGCTTAAGCCAGAGAAAAAACATAGAGCAGGAGTACTCTTTTTTAACGGTATTCTTTTTCTTTTAAAGCTGTTGAAACTTCATCAGAAGTGCTTTTGGAAAATGAAAATCTGTCAACCCTTTTGGAATGTGAAAATCTTCCAACAAGTAACATTGTGATACACCGATCAAATCTTAAGCATAACATGATTGATGCATTTTGTGATGAAGAAATTTTAAATTCAATAGTTACAGTTAGTTATTGATGACAGAGGGCAAAGGGAGAAAGGTGAAGGGCGTGGAGTATTTAGAGATGTACTTACAGGGTTTTGGCAGGAATTCTTTGTATCTGCTACAGTCGGTGCCAATGAAAAAATCCCAGCTATCCGGCATGATTATCAGAGTGAGCAATGGAAAGCTATTGCAAGAGAGTTTGTGTATGATTTTTCTCAAGAAAGGTATCTCCCTATCCAGCTCTCACCTTCTTTTATATCTGTTTGCTTGTTTGGTATCTTTTAAGGCATTTTTGTCAGTCAGTGAGCAAGAAATAGTTAATGAAGAAGTTAGTGGGAATACGAGCCCCCTTGATGATGATGTTATGGAATTCTTAAGTAGCTATCAATGTTTTACCACTCCCAGTGGAAACAATATTGAAAATATTATTTGGCAGTTAGCTCATAAAGAGATCATCCAAAAGCCCCGTTATATTGCAAACTGCTGGACCCCAATCTTATCCTTGCTAAAAAGATACATGCCATTTCAGTCACTTGACAATTTGGTCTCGCTATATAATGAGAAAAAACCTAATGCAAAGAAAGTTGTGAAGCTTCTTGATGCCCATCCTAATACAGATGCAGAAAGGGCATGCTTAGATCACCTGAAAAGATTTATAAGGTCCATTGAAGGAAATATTGGTACTTTTTTGCAGTTTACGACAGGAAGTAATGTACTGGTTTGTGACAAAATAAGCATTTCTTTCAATAAATTGGAAGGCTTAGGCAGACGTCCTGTTGCACATACATGCACTCCTACTCTTGAAATTCCCAGCACATATCAAAGCTATAATGAATTTTCAGAGCACTTCTCAAACTTGCTGAGTAATAAAAATGCTTGGGCTTTTGACAAACAAAACACAAACAAACAACATTTATATACCGGCCAGTATTAATCCCCGCCAGGGGGGTTGACCGGTCCATGAATTTTTCCACGCCACACATCTCTATCTTGCGCCATATCTCTCGTTATACCCATCGCCTTCATATCACTGTTCACAACATCCATCCATCTCTTTCTCGGTCTACCTCGTTTGCGGACTCCATCAACATTCATATGCAACGTTCTACGAATTTCAGCACTTTCTTCCCTCCTTTCCACATGCCCAAACCACCTCAAACGCTGGCGTCTTACCCAATTCTCGATACACTCAACACCAACTCTTTCTCTAATCTCTTCACTTCGAATCCTATCCATCAACGTTACACCACACATCATCCTAAGCATTCTCCTTTCCGTCGACGCCAATCTTCTCAGGTCCTCTGCTTTCGGCGCCCAACACTCTGCTCCATATCCCAAAACACTTCTAACACATGCCTTATACAATTCTACCTTCTGCTTCAACGAAGTCGACTTTCCGCACAACATTCCCGACAACTCTCTAAACTCCACCACGCTGCTTGAACTCTGTTCCTCACCGCTTGCTCGCACCCTCCACCATCATTTAACACATCGCCCAGATATTTAAACTCCGATACACCTTCCAAACTCACGTCACCCAGTTCAAACCGTTCAATCGCGACTCGCCCACCACTTCGACACGTCCCGCACTCAAAATCAGTTACTCTTGTCAATGCACCACGGACACCTGAACATCTTCCATGAACCCACTTACCGCATTTCCACATTATCGAATTCACTCCAACTCTTTTCCCACACACACCACATGGCCATTTATCACTGTCCTTCACCTCCACCTGCCTCGAGCATCTCATGCCCTTCGTCTTTGCCTCATTCACTTTCAGTCCCTTGACTTCTATTGCCGTTTTCCATTCTCGGTACCATTCCAGAACTTTCTGCTTCGACTCCGCCACCAAGACAATGTCATCTGCATACAACAAACACCAGCATCCTTCTTCTTCTCACTTCCTCTGTCAGTACATCCATCACACAAGCAAACAGTAACGGCGACAAGACTGAACCTTGATGAACACCAACTTTTACCTCAAAAACACCAGATCTAGCACCTTCCTCCGTAACCACCGCCTCTACACCTTCATAAGTCTCCATAACTGCCCGAACCATATTCTCTGTCACACCTTTCTTACGCAGCGCGTACTCGATCACCTTTCTCGGAACTCTATCAAACGCCTTCTCCAAATCTACAAACACCATATACAATTCTCTGTCCTTCTCCAAAATTCTCCTGCAGCTGCCTCAACACAAAACACGCATCCGTCGTTCCTCCCCGGTATGAATCCATACTGCTCTTCCCCATCCGAACAACTTCCCTCAACCTTCTTTCAAACACTCTCTACTATTTTCAACGCATGCTCCATCAGCTTAATAGTCCTGTAATTCCCACATACCGTTGCTGCTCCTTTTCCTTTGTACAGCGGGACAACTAGACTCTTTCTCCATGTACTCGGCATCTTTGAGCCCCTCAAAACCTCGTTCGCTACATTACACAACTCTCTCACGCATAGTTCATTGTCCAACATTTCGCTACCCACTTCACTCGGTCCCGTCGCCTTTCTTCATCTTGCGCAGAGCCGCCGCCACCTCATCAACAGTCACTATTTCCCACGGCCCAAAACTTCATCCGCTTCAACTTCTCCATTCCACTCATTCTCTACATTCATCAAACGGTCACAGTACGCCCTCCACACTTCTAACCTGTCTTCCAATAACACCTTCAACTCCCCATCGTGGTTCTGCACGCCGGAGCACCAAAATATCGTTCCTCTCCTTCTGCTCCTTCTAGCTGTTCTAAACAACGCTTTTCTTCCATTCTCCTGCATTTTACGAAGCTCTTTCTGATGTCTTTCGCTTTAGCCACCTCCTTTCGCGCCTTTTTCTTGAATCGGATGTAATCGATCCTATCTGTTTCAGTCCGCGACTTTCTCCACCTTTAAATGCCAACTTCGCGCCAATCACTTCGCTGACTCGTTGATCCCACCACCATGCCTGTTCTTCTACTACACCGCCTTTACTTCTACAACATACCTTCTCCGCTGCCTTTAAAACACCCTTCTTCAAGCACGTCCATCGCTCCTCCACCGTCTCACCCTCAACATTCAATGTCGCAATTTCGTCACGGAAACACTGCTTCCCTTCATTCGATCGTAACTTCCATAGCTTAAGCCTGCCTTTACCCTCAACCTTTCTCCTTTTCACCTTCCTGATTCTCCAGTCCATGACCAGCAGCTTGTGCTGGGTCACACATTCTTCTCCTGCAATCACTTTTGCATCCTTCACGTTTTTCCTCTCTTCTTCATTCACCAGTATATAATCCACCACCGTCCTACTGTCACCAGATTCATACGTCACAAGCTTGCTTTCTTCCTTTATAAACCACGTATTCACTACCACCATCCCACAACTCGCTGCTAACTCCAATATCGTCTCGCCTTCAGCATTCATATCACCAACTCCAAAACCTCCATGCGCACAGTATCCTTTTCTTACGCTTCCCACATGACCGTTCCAATCACCAAGCATCACACATCGCCCTCTAATGTCTGCTCTCACTGCATACACGCTGTCGTAGAACTTTTCCTTCTCCTCCGCACTTCGTCCAACCTGCGGAGCATACACCACAACGAAACTCACAACTTCGGCCTCAATAACTACATCAACTCTCAGGACTCTGTCCGAAACTCTCTTTACTGCTACAACTGACTTCGCCCAATCCTCTCTTATCGCAAAGCCAACACCATTCGTGCCACTTCCGTTTCCCTTCCAAAACCACTTAAATCTCGCTCCATTATCTTCACCCTTTATGACTCTCGTACCTTCACCTTTAAACCTTACCTCCTGAAACCCACACACATCAACTTTCCTTCTCTTCAACATGTCCGCCACTTCTGCACTCCTTCCCTTCATTGTCCCAACGTTCACTGTGCCTACCCGAAGGGTGACACTTCCACAACCATTCGATCCGGAGATTCTTCGCACCCCCTGCCCACTGAAGGGCTGCCGGGGACTGGGGGCCATATCTTCTTTTCCAAAGTCCATGAATTTTGTTGGAGCAAAAGTTTTACGGTAGGATGCCCTTCCTTACACCAACCCCTTTTAGTCGTCTTTTACGACACGCAGAGGATACGTTGGCGCAATTCTAAGCCGGCAACCACACGGCATATGCTTGGGCTTTTGACATTGTTTAAAAATATTAAGCGCATTACATTAAATGTTATTGCTCCATAAACTTAAAACTTGTTCTATTTTGTTATGTTAAAATTTATTTTATAAAGACCAGAATTTTATTCAGGATTGTTACAGAGGGAGACATTCTATAATATTGTTGTATCATATATAAATGAACTTTATCAAACAGGCTGGTTTTTTTCTTGTTCTTTTTCTTATGTTGTGTTTTCTAAGTTTCTGATCAACTTTTTTCTATCACCATCACAAAATTTCAGTAAGTATTTGTAATGCTGCACAATAGAAATTGATGCCATAATTACCATCATTTGCCACTGGATTTGGAACAGTATTGTGGACAATGGACCAATGTTCAGGTGACAAAATAATTCTGCCCTCTGGGACAACAATGTTGTTATCTGTTTCAATGTCAGGAATATCTCCATCGAAGTCCACTCCATAAAATGTAAAGTCTGTAACAAGCTCATCCACTTGGTTGGGAATATTGCCAGAGTACCACAGTGTCATTGGTGACCTATGACCCATTGTTCTAAGTCCATGGTAGTTCCACTGACTTTCAAATTCTCGGAGTGATGCATTTATTCTAGGCAAGAACACTATCTCAAGAGCCAACAAATGTGCTTCATTATCTACATCCAGTAAACCACTATTTTCCATTGTAATAAACAAGTCCTTGTATAAAGCTCCCAGTACTCTATTCACTTCTCGCCACAACCGTTCAATACGTTGGTTGTGAACACTGGTACCTGCAATAAAGCTTCCTCTTCCTGTGCCTCGAGTTGTAATCATGAACTTTGCAATCTCAACGTTTTCCACTCCGCGGTCTGCTCGAACACGTGAAGGAACACCAAATTTTTGATTACCTTCGATAAAGAACTGTACAGCAGTAGTTGCTAAGTTGTTAGTAGAACCTTTTAAATAAATGATAGCTCGACTGTAGCCATCTATACAACCGTGAACTACAAACCTCCACTGTATAAGTTTGTGGTTGGTATCAACGTGCCATAACTCATTTGAAGCAGCCACATTGTACATTCTTTGGATAGTAACACGCTTTCTTACAGCCCTTCCTACAGGATCAAGTAAACGAAGGCATTCTCTCACTCTGTTCCTTTGTACAAAAATTTGACGAGCAACTAAGCCTCCTCGAATATAAGTTTCGCCAGCATATGGAGTTTGCTGTAGTATACTTTCTATAACTGATTTCAATTCGGCGTCAGTGATTTCAGAAAATGTTTGCGATATGTTTAGCTCTTGGCGGTAGTTGTACAGTGTCCTTTCGTTTATACCCAGCGTTTCTGCGATTGATTTCCAATTCATACCCGTTTCTCGTAATGTTTCTATTTGCTCTTTAGAAACAACATATTTAGGCCTTCCACAAGTGAACTGTCGACTCAAAGTTAACCTATTATATGGAAGTTGTTCACGACATTGCGACTGCACTTCACTAAACAAGGATGTGTAACTCTCTGACTAAATTCTCAAATAAACTCTTTAACTCTTCGTGGCCAAATTTGGATTCAATAACTGATTGAAGAGCAAAAACAACGTGAAAATGTCCCTCTAACTTTCTACATACATATTCTTTCGCGTTGGCATCTTCACTATCACGCGACGCAATAACTAAACAAGACTGTAGGGAAGTAAAAAACGCTATAATATCTTGAACATCCGCCATTACGCCATTCGTAGTATATCAGAGCGCTGCTTGAAGTTGCAAAGAACAGTGCTATGATCCATGGTATAACTATAAATTATGTTGTTACGACTGGCATTTTATTTCTCGACCGAGAGTTTTTCTCGACCGGGATTTTTTTCTCGACTGGCATTTTATTTCTCGACCGAGATTTTTTTCTCGACCGGGATTTTTTTCTCGACCGAGATTTTTTCTCGACCGGGATTTTTTCTCGACCGGGAATTTTTCTCGACCGGGATTTTTCTCGACCGGGATTTTTCTCGACCGGGATTTTTTCTCGACCGGGATTTTTTCTCGACCGGGATTTTTTTCTCGACCGGGATTTTTTTCTCGACCGAGATTTTTTCTCGACCGGGATTTTTTTCTCGACCGGGAATTTTTTCTCACAATATATTTGCTTTACTGAACTACCATCTATGGCAAGCCAAAACTGCCAAAAGTGTATCGAGATTTATAAGTCGTATTAGAATTACTATAAGTGTATTCGAGATTCGTAAAGTGGTACTCGAAATTACTCTATTGCGGTGTGAAAACTATATTATTATTGTTGAATTGTGTATGACGAGATTTATTTGACGAGTTGTTTTATAAACTGTGACGAGATTTATAAGACGAGTTTTATATGACGAGTTTCATATGACGAGTTTTATATGACGAGTTTCATATTACGAGTTTTATATGACGAGTTTCATATGACGAGATTTATATCGCAAGTTTTTTTTATAAACTGTAACAGTGTAACGAGATTTATAAGAGGTCACGAGTTGTTTACAAACTGTAACGAGATTTCCCAAGATGGCGTCCGCTAGTAATGCAACTTATTTCGAAGCAAATGAAGAACTTACTGAATTTTTCCAAATGTTGGATGCATTGTTTAGCCATTTAGAAATTTCTATAGTACTTAATGATACTCTTGATTTGGAACATTGTAAATGCAAGTTAGAACGAAATCTTCCAATTGTTACAGCAATGCTCGTGGCCGTTAACATTGAAAGATATGACGACACGATAGACTTACTATCACCTCAGCCCTCATTTGTCTCGCTGTTCGAAAGATTAAGTGTTGGAATAGAAGAGGAAATACGCAGGCTAAGAGCGATCTTGGATTACACGTCTCCTGAGAATAGAAGAGAAGTTATTTCATTCCGGTCAAGTACGGGAGGGAGGCCTTGTTTTGATATAACCAAAATACAGATAGAGCAATTACGAGATACCGGAATGAAGTGGAAAAGTATAGCTAGCTTCCTAGGTGTATCAGAACAAACAATTTACTGGAGAAGGATTGAATATGGAGTTGAGGCTAGCTTTACAGACATCACCGATGATAGTTTAGATGGGCAGATAAGAGATATTTTAAGGCTTACCCCATATAGTGGAGAATGTTATATCAGGGGTAGTTTAAGGGCTAGAAAGATCTATGTCCAAAGAGAAAGGGTCAGAGAAAGTCTTCGGAGAATCGATACTATTGGAAGAAATATGCGAAGGAGGTATGCGATTTGTAGACGGGTTTATAACGTTCCCGAGCCGAATTTTCTTTGGCATATTGACTCAATCCATAAGCTTATATCCAGGCGATTCGTTATCCATGGTTGCATCGACGGGTTTAGTCGGGCAGTCATTTACCTAGAGTGCTGCGCTGATAATAGAGCTCAGACAGTAGTTGATCTTTTCAAAAAAGGGATTGATGAATTCGGTTTGCCTTCGAGGGTTCGTGGAGATCGAGGTGTCGAAAACGTTGACGTAGCACGGCTAATTATGTCACGTCGTGGTGAGAATAGAGGTAGTTTCATTGCCGGGCGAAGTGTGCATAACCAAAGGATAGATCGGTTGTGAGCAGAAGTAAACCGGGTTCTTTCTGCTCTATACGTTGGTGTCTTTAAATTCATGGAAAACGAAAACCTGTTAGATCCGTTCAATGAGCATCATCTATTCGCACTTCACTTCGTTTTCAAACCACGTGTAAGTGCGTCACTTTCGGAATTCAGGGAGCAATGGAACCATCATGGACTAAGGACTGCCGATCACCAAACCCCCATGACACTTTGGCAAACGAACATGATTCCTGTTGCATATGAATCTCCTATTGTTAACTTTGAAGAATATGGTCTAGATTCAAATGGCCCAGTTCCAGACGACGATACAGATAATTATGTTGTGGTACCTGAAAACATACTGCAGCTGACGGAAGAACAACTGGAGCTTCTATGTAGTGAAGTCAACCCCTTAAGTGATGGCGGCAATTATGGAATCAATCACTTCATACAAACACTTGATATTGTCAACACATTTTATGTTCAATGATTGAACGAATTTATGATCAAAAATCGAGGTAAATAACAAATATAAATAGAGGATGCATCGATCATATACTTGAAGCAATGTCAGCAATGTTACCGCGTGTGAATGTAGCTACCTTTACTAGCTCTTAAAATGAAAAAAATGGGTGCGATAAGGTCCTATCGCATTTAACCATATCGTGATTATTGTAAGTAAAGCTTCCAAACAAAGTAAAGAATAAATAAGTTTGTTCCTTTAAACGACTTCATCATAATTTGCACAGTTGGCTCGTAGATATATCTCTGATCGTCCGTACATATCAATAGTGTACAAATTATAAGTCGAACGATTTTAATAAAATTTCAATCAAACGTAGTTATAAACATTGTTCGAGATGTAAAAACGAACTGTTAACGTAATTTTATACAATGTCAAATGACCAAGATTGTCCTTCCTTCAATAAGTTATTAAACTCAGATGCAAGATCACCATAGCTCTCATATGTGGTAGGAATTTCTAAACAAGGTCCACATGTATGAGCAATAGGTCGTCTTTGGAGTCCACTTAGATTTGAAAAAGTTACTTCTATCGATGTGCAAGTAATACAGTCGCGATTCTCTATTGTAGCTGTTGATGCCATTTGATTAGGGTGATGCGTTAATTCTCTCTGGCGACTCGTTTCAGCATTTGGCAAATTCAAAGCGGTCGTATGTCGTCCAAATATAGTTCTCACTTCTGAGCTTACAGAACTGTCCACGTCAGGTGATATTCTTTCAGACAGCTCTGTAACTCTGCCAAGAAGCTCCTGAATAATTTCTCTATTGCTCATTTCTGTCATTTTGGTGAGAGCGATACAGTATAGATAGAAAATACAAAGTTACCAACCCGCCGAAATTTTGCATAAAATTACTAAATGCTTTTGAAACAAACAAGTGTTCTTTAACTCAATACTTCATGTTGTTAGAGGAAAACTCGCGATATAAATCTCGTCATATGAAACTCGTCATATAAAACTCGTCTTATAAATCTCGTCACACTTTATAAAACAACTCGTCATATAAATCTCGTCATACACAACTCAACAATAGTAATATAGTTTTCACACCGCATTATAGTAATTTCGAGTACCACTTTACGAATCTCGAATACACTTATAGTAATTCTAATACGACTTATAAATCTCGATGCACTTTTGGCAGGATTGGCTTGCCATAACCATCTGCAAATTCTCAATGATAAACACGTGTTTCTCAACATCGGTTTGCTTTCTCAACGGAGATTTTTTTCTCGACCACCTTTTTTCCGAAATGGCTTGCCATACATTTGTTACGATTGCAAACTTGACAAAACAAAGGAACTGTTTATTCAGAGTTTTTCTTTTCTATGGAGGGTTCTAGTGCTCTCGAAACAACTAACCTTTCACTCGCAAATGTCAACGAGCAATTTTCTTCTCAGACCAATATTTTGGCAAATATTTTGGCAAATATAGACGAGGAATCTACACGTAAGCCTGGTAGAAACGCTATTGATGCTTCGGATTCTCCTTCAGGAACATTAGATCGAATGTTAGACCGAAATACATCAAAATCTGACGAAATGAAAAACTCTAATGATCAAACGGGTGAATTTGAAAGATTCGAGAACGTCGAACTTGAAAAGGAAGAGGTTAGAACTGTAATTTTTTAAAGGTTTATTTTGCAATCAATCATAAATCTAAAAGTTCACTCTGTCAAAATGTTGTTTTTGGATATAACTATTAAGAAATTAAGTTTTCTGAAAGTTATAATTCAGCACAAATGCATTTACTTGTCTTCTTTCATTTTCATTATATTCTACTCATTTTTGTTTCAGTGTATTTCAAACAACTGCTCATTTTTGAAATCAGCCAACATGTAGAATTAGCTTGATGCAGGAAAAATTAATCCCCAAGGAAGCATAAATGCAATTGAAATAAATTTCATGCTTGAAATTTGCAATAAACAGTATCAGCAATTTGTATGTGAAATTTGTAGGTGTTATTTTACAACTTCACCATTCCTTTTCACCATTTAGCAAACAACCATTTCCTTTTTATTCAGAAACATCCTGAACCAAAAAAGAAGTACCGTGTGCAGAAGAAGAATAATCGATACTATTTCCAGCATCTCTACTGCCGACTGATTATTGTTTATGTTATTGTCTTTCTCAATTTCCTGATATATGCAGAAGATCCTGTGTCACACAGTGTGGTTGAAGCCGAATTACCTGTTGTGGGAAATGATGTTGGTTTTTTAATCTTTAGGTAAGTAGTTTTTTGTGTAGTTGACAGAATGATCTGTGTCAATAGTATACAAGCCATTTGAGCAGGCTTAGAAATAGTTGATGGAAAATTTGAGAATAACATGATAAGGTGGTTTGAAATGGTAGCAAAAACATGCTCATTACAAAATATAATTTTAAATTTTCTAAGTCCCAACCTAGATAATTTGCAAATTGTACAAAGCACATTGCTCAATGTTATTTGATCTCTGCAGTTGAGAAGTTGACTATTTGTGATAGTGAAAAGTTCATGTCTTTTCTAAACATTGATTCAAATGTTGGCAAAACATTTGAATTAATATTTATAAACTCTTTAGCAGATTTTAATATTTTTTTCTGAGTACAAATTAATCAGAATATTATAATACTATACCACTGTTTTACACCTTTTATACATTCATAGATATCCTGTCATACTCCATGATTCCATCATACAATACCATACTTCCTCTCCTAGGGCCCAGTCATATGGTTTTTCTAAACCAACAAAGACATAACTAAGCTCCCCTTTAAAAGCTCTGTAGTTCTCAACGAGAAACCTCAAAGAAAATAATGCAACTGTAGTACTTTTTCCTAACATAAAACCCTATCACTGCCAGAACCACAATTTGGGACGTAGGCAATATTCATAGATGCAGTATATGCCATATTAAGCTCCTTTGAAATGTACTGTTGTTCAGCGGATTATGACAATAATTTATGAATATTTGCCCCCTCAATTATTGCGCTAGCAGCGCTACTGCTTTCTCACCATGCAACGTATCGTACTGTACAAGTCATCTTATGATCTTTGTTTTAGCTTTTGCCACTTGAAGATACACCACTACAGATCTTGTGATGTATCTTCCTTTACTCCTGTTTTTTAACGGGAGTCTATCCATCATCTAACTTTTTTTCGCTTATCTCCCACAACGTAGGTCTCTTTATTTATGATCTTTCAAGAAGAAACACCAAGTACGTACTTTTAAACCTGTCTCCCTATCGCATTCAATGCAGTAGTCCAGCCATCTGAAAGCACATCGTGATCACCTACGTATAGCCTGTCTTCGCTCTCCTCTAAAAATTATAAACTACAATTTCCTTTTTATTTTCCACCACTATGTTTTCGGTCATGCCTTTTCATCTTCCTCACCACTATAGTTGTCCTGCTCATCACTTTTCTACGTATGCTTTCTGGCTACACTTAGGGGCTGTTTACATGTGCCCAACAGGGAGGGCTGGCCCTAACAGACGAGATCTCGCGTGTTATTAAAATTCCATCTAAAATCACTTTTCGTTTACATGAGAGGTGGGCCAGCCTTACCAGCCGAGATCTGGCTATTGTTTACCCGAGATCTCGCAATGTAGGACTGGTAATTTCCCATCCTAACGCATTCGGTATTGCATTTGCATGCGATAAGGCATCGCTTTTCAGCAATGGCGACAAGAAAATTAAGACATCAACGGATCAAACAAACTAAGAAAGCATAAAAAATCAAAAGGCGACAACTATATTGGTTTTTTTTCAGCTATTTTGTATTCTAGAGCCGAAATTCGCCGTTCAAACCGAACTCTTGATGTAGGGCTCGCCCTTTCCGTAGGGCTCATGTAAATAGCCTCTTAGTAGCTATGATTTTGATATCCAACGTTTCGTTATTATTTCTGCAATATTGTGTGATTTTTAGATATCCACCTAGAGGATGGTTTGTGCTGAAACTCTTCTTTTTCTTATGTGGTGTAATAACTGGCATGTTGATTGGGAAGTTTATAATCCACAAGCGTTTTCTATGGAGATTTCTCAAACTGCGCATGTTCCATGTTTTGTCCCATAAAGAAAAGATTGAACGAAGTTATGGAATGGTGTTTTGGTATTTTTGGCATTGACATTGTTTTGTGAATGTTTAAAACTTCTGATGAAGTAATGAGTTGTTTAATTACACGGAATGAGCGCTGCACTGACTTTTATATAGTTTTGTAGTGGCTATAGCAACATTGTTTTTAATTGAGGTATATTTGGCATGCCTCATTTTTTCTTACTTCAAATTTGATGTTTTCACGAAGTAGTTATTCATAATCAATCTATAGTATTTTTAACATAGATGAACTAAAAGTTTCAATTTTATTAGCACTTCTTTTTTGCAAATGTTAACATTGTCGTTTTTGACACGTTTAGCGTCATTCTGAACACATTCTGAACATTGTCTATTCAATTGACAAAAATAAAGAACTTTACAGTGTAGATAAAACTAAAACCTCCTATTGCTTTTGCTATATTCCTGTAGCCCAAAAAAAAATACAGTCTTATACTTTTTGACTTCCGTACTAGTTATGACGCCAGAATGAATGAACAAACATGGCGTCAAGAAAGTTTGCAGACGAGCACCACCTAACCTTCGTACTTAAAACTGGGCAACTTTCACACAACGTAAAATGATGACTACACATATCATATTAGCTACTAATAAATGTTCGATATTTTTTTCTTTGTGTTTCTAGAATGGGTGGAATTTACGCCTTTCGAATATGGCTCTCGAAGACTTGGTGTTTTTGGAAAAACGTCACACTTTGGCGTAAAGTATTACAAAGGCCGTTTAGTTACAGAGTATGGCGAACCTCCATTGCATTTTCTGCCAGGTAATTGATTCATACATATTGCACTAAAAAGAGAATACGCGTGTTAGATATTTTACATGAGTCACTCATGTTTTAAAAGTTCGATTACATTAAGTGAGCAAAAATTTTTCGAGGATTTTACGAACTATTGATGAGTGTCAAGCAAAATACATAGTGTTAACAAAATCCACTTATTTCTCTTTATGAGACAGGTGTATGGGGAAGTGCTTTCAGCATCATATTGAATTCATTGAAAGAAGATGACGATAAACGTGGAAAAAATCACAAAGATGAATTAGGTAAAGGAGTCGTAACGATGAAATTCATATATAATCCAATCGTAAAAATTTTTTCAGCTCTATATTTAGTTTTCAAAGCTCTCCAACTTGACTGTTGCACTCAAACTTAACGATTTGACGTTTAGGCTTAATGAACAGAGCTTCTTCACTTAACAGCTAGGCTCCATACCAAAAAAAAACAATGACGAAAATTGCTCAAAAAAAACATCCTACAGCAAAGCAGGCTTTATTCTGGAGGGCAGTGGTTTATTGATTTCCCAATTTTTTTTATTTTTTTTTTTGGGGGGGTGGGGGGTGGGATAGACTATAACTTGTACTCAAATGAAACTTTGAAAAAAAACGATTTTTCGTTGAACTGCTTTCTTTCCATTTTCATGCAGTTGCGTATTACAATCCATAAATGTCATTTTCATGAACTTACGTATAACAATAGATAATTGCAATTTTCTTAAGACAAAAAATATAGCATTGCGAAGCTTATCGTCAAAATCGATTTTTTTGGTTTTGCAAAATGTAAACTTGGTTTCACAGTTAAAGTCATCTTATTATTTTTACTTTAATAGTGTCTGCAATCAAGATAGATGTTGATAACTGTAAGACAGAAGAAAATGACAGCGAAGACGAAGACAAAGACAACAATAAACCCGAAGACGAAGTAGACAGTACGTTTATGTTATTTTTTATTCCCTCTTTCTTTGATTGGATTAGTTGGAGAACAGTAATGTATAAATTCGGCAAAAATATTTTTACTGCATGAAGTTTACGTATATATAGTTATAACACAAACTTCGGGAAATAGAAAATGAAGGTATATGTTTAAAACATTGTGTAGTCAAAAGAAAATCTCCCTCGATCAGTAGTAACAAAGCAAGCCCGTTTTTTACCACTACAATTCAAATATTTCTGTGTTTAATCACTGGAAATACAATGAATGGAATTCTCCTCTGCCCTTAATCCTAAGTATGACATAAAATGCTTGTATCTAGCTACTTTTCATTTTTGTTCAATTTTAATAATTATTTTTCTTGACAATTTTAAAATTTTGTTAAAATCCTGCAAAATGAAAACTATTATGCAATGCAATTGAGAAATAAAAGATGTTTACTGTATTTTCACAGGCTTATGATACCTAGGAGACTTTTTGGGGAACTCGAGAATTAATAATTAACAATTCGCCATGACATTTGCGATTTCCAAAACAATGTTTTTATTTCGTATTCAATTTTCCTTCCAGATAAAGGTTGGGTGACGCAGATGTTGAACCCCAAAAATATTTTTGCAACTCGCAAAGGAAAAGCCGCTGAATGCTTTGACTTTTGCCGTGGACTCAAGTTAAAGAACAAAAACGGTAACACTTCATTTTATGAATCATTTTTGACCATGATCTTTTTTGCCAAAAATAATGCAGTGATACATTTTGCGTTTTAGTGTCAAAATCGTTTTGAGAAAATTTACTTCATATGTTTGTAAATGATGATCGTCCAGGTTAATAAAGTCCTGAGAAGGACTGTTTTTGATGTTGTTGACTGACGTTTCGACAACCTTAGCGGTAGTCATCTTCAGAGTCAAATGAGGAGTAAACATCAGGTTAGCCGTATTTATTGTCTGGTTCTTACGTCATTGTATTGTGTGTACAGGAAATGTGCAGGAAATGTGTATTGTCATTGTGGATTAGTGTGAAGTGAAATATTTTATTTTTAGTTGTGATGTGTGATTTAGGTGTGACGTTTTAGTTGTAATGTGTGGGTGTCAATTGTATTGTCATTGTGAATTAGTTTGAAGTGTAATGTTTTAGTTGATCGTTTGTTTGTATTGTGAATAAGTCGTTTGTAAGGTGCCGGTAATTGCTGTGATCTGTTCAGGGGTTTGTTCCAAGTTGGTATACCAACTTTCTAATGTAAGCCGTTGTCTATAGTCAGTACTGTAAGTGATGCATTTTGCCGAGTCCCAGTCAATGTTGTGCTTTGTGATTCGGTGATGTTCGGCAATGTGATTAGTTTTGTCTTGTTTCTTAGTAGCTCGTTTGTGCTCAGTAAGTCTTATGTTTAAGTTCCTGCCAGTTTCCCCGATATAGGCGTGGCAGTCGGAGCAGTTTATTTTGTAAACTGCACCTTGTCGTTCGTTGGTTGTTCTTTGTCCTTTATGTTCGTTAGTACTTGTCGTAATGTTGTGATTGGTTTATGTGCGACACGTATGTTCTATGGTCGTAAGATACGCGAGATAGTCTCAGACGTACCTTTGATGTAAGGTATCGTTGCTGTTGTCACTGAGTTGTTCGTTTCGTTGGGTTCTTTGGGTTTGTAAGTGTTGCGTTTGATAAAGTCAGAGTTATAGTTGTTTTTGTCAAAAACACGTTTGAGATAGTTGTTTTCGTTTTGTAGAGCGTCCGGTGAATCACATATGATTTGTGCACGTCTTGTTAATGTTCTGATTGTGGTAGCTTTGTGTGATCTAGGGTTGTAAGATGATTGGTCTAGTAGTCGGTCAGTATGTGTTGGCTAAAACATTCCATAACACCTAGACAAATCCCGACTGAGACAATAGTATCAAGTGTCGAGGCTGTCCTGGCGTATCAAAGAGACTTGTCAGAGACAACAAAAGACGAGATCAGAAGCAGGATAGCCTCCACTTTACAATCGTCCTCTATACGTGACAACAACTTGACAAAAGACGAACAACAAGCACTCAAACGACCAAAGCACGACAACAACATCGTCATTTTACCAGCAGACAAAGGACGCGTGACTGTGGTCATGGACAGGAATGATTACTTTAACAAAATGGACGCACTTGTTAACGACAGACAAACGTACGAACAACTCAAACGAGACCCAACACCATCACTAGTACGCAAACTTAACAGCAAGATCTTCTCTATGAGAAAATCTAACATTATATCTGAACGTATTTACTTTCGACTCAGATGTTCAGTACCACGACCACCCAGACTATACGGACTACCAAAACTTCACAAACCACAAATACCCATGCGACCAATTGTATCATTCTGTGGTTCGCCTACTTACGAACTTTCAAAGTACTTGACTAACATACTGCAACCACTCACAAACAAATCAAAACACAAGCTACAATCCACTGAAACTTTCATTAAAAAACTGTGCACTATACAAATACCAGACAACTATATATTAGTGTCTTTTGATGTGAAATCACTGTTCACCAGTATTCCACTTAATCTGGCACTTACTTGTACAAAAACCCTCATTACAAAAACCACGGACGTACTGCCATTACCGACAGAAGACATTATGGAGTTACTAGAGCTCTGCCTCACCTCTACTTACTTCCAATACAAAGGAACACACTACAAACAATTACATGGGACAGCAATGGGCTCGCCCGTTTCTGTTGTAGTTGCTGAAATTGTAATGCAATCTATAGAGGAACGGGCACTCATGACTTACAAACATGCACTACCTTTTTGGTTTCGCTACGTAGATGACACAATCACAGCACTACATGCAGACGAGATTGATGACTTCCATACTCACATCAACAAACAGAACAGCCACATACAATTTACCAAAGATGTCGAAGAAAACGGAACTCTTCCTTTCTCGACTGTTTGGTAAAACATGACAATCAAAACTAGGAACAACAGTTTATCGCAAGCCAACACATACTGACCGACTACTAGACCAATCATCTTACAACCCTACATCACACAAAGCTACCACAATCAGAACATTAACAAGACGTGCACAAATCATATGTGATTCACCGGACGCTCTACAAAACGAAAACAACTATCTCAAACGTGTTTTTGACAAAAACAACTATAACTCTGACTTTATCAAACGCAACACTTACAAACCCAAAGAACCCAACGAAACGAACAACTCAGTGACAACAGCAACGATACCTTACATCAAAGGTACGTCTGAGACTATCTCGCGTATCTTACGACCATAGAACATACGTGTCGCACATAAACCAATCACAACATTACGACAAGTACTAACGAACATAAAGGACAAAGAACAACCCAACGAACGACAAGGTGCAGTTTACAAAATAAACTGCTCCGACTGCCACGCCTCCTATATCGGGGAAACTGGCAGGAACTTAAACATAAGACTTACTGAGCACAAACGAGCTACTAAGAAACAAGACAAAACTAATCACATTGCCGAACATCACCGAATCACAAAGCACAACATTGACTGGGACTCGGCAAAATGCATCACTTACAGTACTGACTATAGACAACGGCTTACATTAGAAAGTTGGTATACCAACTTGGAACAAACCCCCCTGAACAGATCACAGCAATTACCGGCACCTTACAAACGACTTATTCACAATACAAACAAACGATCAACTAAAAACATTACACTTCAAACTAATTCACAATGACAATACACAATTGACACCCACACATTACAACTAAAAACGTCACACCTAAATCACACATCACAACTAAAAATAAAATATTTCACTTCACACTAATCCACAATGACAATACACATTTCCTGCACATTTCCTGCACACACAATACAATGACGTAAGAACCAGACAATAAATACGGCTAACCTGATGTTTACTCTTCATTTGACTCTGAAGATGACTACCGCTAAGGTTGTCGAAACGTCAGTCAACAACATCAAAAACAGTCCTTCTCAGGACTTTATTAACCTGGACGATCATCATTTACAAACATATAACGATACACCCGGGTTCAAACCATTTACTTTAAAATTTACTTCATTGTTTGAGTAATTTAGTTTATGTTTCCATCGTTAAAAATGCCATTGGATAAAATCACAAACTTTCCTGGGTTTTTATTCTTGCAGATTTGTAAGAAATTACCTGAATTGTGACGATTAATATTGTTTAGCCAAAAACCATGACCAGCCGACAATTTGAAGAAATATAGTATAAACCAAATTCCGAAGAAGCAAGACATCTTGGGATTGCAAAATATGCATCAAAACATAACGAGAAGTGAACTGCAAATTTTCGACTTTATTTCAAAGTCATCCTTAGACAGAAAGATTCTGTCAAGATGTCTTGCTTTTTCGGAATTTGCTTTATACTATATTGTTTAGCCACTTGTCCGTCTTAAAAACCTCGTGCCCTCCACTTCTCCACTCTTATGTCCACTGTTCTCTAAATACTCATAGATCTGGACCATTTGATCTTAAATTTATCTTGGACCAGTAGTGAAGCTTGCGCGTTTCTTACTCCTACAATGCAAATTTTTTGGGCTTATGCAATCACTGGAAAAACAATGAATAAAATTAACTTTCTTTAAAAAATGAATAATAATCATGCTGGTAAATTTGCATTGCAGTAGTAAAGGATCGGAATGGCTTTGCTACTCTTTTTGGAAAAAATATGTAGGGAACAAAATTTCATGTATGAAAAAATATCCACGTAATTTTGTTTTCTGCATTTGCGATCTGTAGTCATGCAGTTATATTGTTTGTGTAAAGCTGGTTTGAATTTTTTACAACGCAACCTGACTATAGGAACTGTTGGTGGTAAGGACGCTGTATTCAAGAACAAAACCATGTGTGTTGTTGATAGTGGTATAGCTTTCAATTCACCATTTCCTGTTCTACTGAGACCAGAAAGAAAAGTTGAATTAATTTTGTCGTTCGACTTCAGTCAAAGAGATAATGGAGACAAAGAACCTCCTTTTCATGTGAGTCACTTCACATTTATTTGCTCGTTTTATTCTATTGATGGTTATTTCTATCAAATGAGTTGTTTTAATGCAGCACTAATTTTTATTTCTATTCACGTGCTGTCAACTGATTTTCGTGATTTCGCGCATAAACAACGTTCAATCCTACTTTCCGACGGTAAACACACGTGTCAAAAATACGAGATTAAATTACAAAGTTCGGAGAATCAAATGCTCGGACATAGTATTGTATATGTAAAATAGTGGAAATTAAATAGAAAGAAGATGCTCTTGAGCATTTGTTAATCTTAATTTAGAAATCCAAAACGGCTACTTATAAAGGTAGAAGGTGTAAGAGTAAATAAAAACCATTTCCATTAAATCAAAGGAAAGCCTGGATTTGACATGCAATATGAAGATACAAGATTATAGAGAAAAATAAAAACATTTTTAACGTTTTCACGGATATTACGAATGCCGTAAAAAAAGTGTTGATAAGTTTGATATGAATTTTTCAAAGTAAGCTTAAGAAGATAAATACCGTGCCAAAAATATATGATTGAAAACTTGTTCAGCGCATCTACAAGCGCCAATTTCAGAGTTTGCTCTGTCACAAATTACTTGACAATGAATTTAAGCATACGTAGTCAACTCCATCAACTCTCCAAGTTCATTTTCATGGCAATGATCAACTCGATGTACTAGTAACGAATACGGAGTATTTACATAGCTCAATCACAAGTATTCAGATAAATCATCTGCGCATGCGCAGTCTCCTTGAGCATGCGTACAGAACTCCACAAACTCTCGAAGTTAATGGATATGGCTACGACCAACAGTATGAACTAGTACCGATTATGGAGTAATTAGCTCGCTTAGTGACAAATTTTCAGATAAATCATCAGCGCATGGGCAGTATGCTTTAGCATGCTGCCTAAGTTTATGGTCATGGCAAAAACTAACTGCATGTACTAGCACTGACTTTGAAGTAAATAGAATGAACAATTTAATACAGAAATCATCTGCGCATGCGCTTGAACATGCGCCGTCTACTGGACTAATTGCTCATAGTCATGGCAACGACTAACTATATGTACTTGCACTACATTTGTGGCAATTAGTCACTTAGTCGCAAATTATCGAAAAAGTAATCTGGACATGCGCTGTAGTGACTTTAACAATACCACAACATTCGCAAGCCTTTAAATTTATGTATATATATATATAAAGCAAAAACTTCATATAGTAGATGTCAACTAGCAGTGGAAGCTGGGTGCGATTTAGTATGCGACCGCACTCTCCCTGCGTATCCCGAGCAAAGCCTATCGCTGGTGATCTCGGGGTCTGATGGGCGGAAGCTTGCTATTGCATCTCCTAAGTAGGATAGCGTGGAGGAGCCGAAATCTCCTACCGAAACGTTAACATGCGGCTTTTAGTGCCTTATGCTTAACAAGGTATCGGGAAGCATGGACCAAAAACGGGGTTTTTTGCTTTTGAATTTTATCTTTTTGTTTATCTCATAAAAAACTAGAACATCCAAGGATACTGCATAAGTTAAAAAAACTTCTGCCTCTTTGACTATACGTTTTTTACATGTTACCCTTTACAATGTAACTTTCTCATAACTCTCTCGTGATGAACGAGAGCCTGCTTATACAATGTAACTCTCGAATCATGAACGATAGCACTAACGTGCTTTATGGAAAAAGGGATCATATACTTTTTTAGTGATAGTTTTTACAAAGATTTTTTACATAGATAGTTTTTACAAACATTTAATAAGCCAAGCGATCGTCTAAATTGAACCCTTATGTCATAAAATTTTATTTCATTTTGGAGAGTAAATTTCTTTTTTCATGATTCAATATAGAAATTAAATTCACATATTGAGTAATTTTGCGATTAAACAGTACACTTTTTCGATCAAAAGGACTTCTTTTGATCGCAGAGACAGTCGTCCACTTTGTTACATAGATGCATCTAGTATGTATTTCGTTGTAAGAACCCACCCGATCAAAGATTATCCAGTTCCAATTTTAGGTGCATCGAGCGAAGAAAATTGCAAGTCATTGAACTTTTTATAACTATAGTTTAAATTCCATTTTTACGTATATGACTTGTAAATGAATTGGAAAATCTAATTTTAGGGAGATTTCATCCATCAATAATAATAATATTGATAAGTGATTATAAGACAGCGAATCCAACATGTAGTAAAAATAGCAATTCAAAAATTTGTATGATTTGCCTTTTTAGCGCCTTGTGTAGTTGGAATTTGTCCTGGATATTCTAAGTGACGTCGTAAAGGCCCGTAACAATCTTTACAAAAAAGTCATTTGTAACGACAACATGCCAATATCCAAGCTTTCTTTTGATCGCTATGCTTTTTTCTAACCCAAAACAATTAATATTTACTGTTATATCTTCTGCCTTTATAAATAATCGTTCTGAATAACTATTATAAGATTCACGAATGCCCTAAAACTCAAAATCATCTCCTGACCATTTTAGCCACATATTTTTGCCACTATTCCATACACAAACAATACTACGTTCGACTATTTGATTCTCCGAATTTTGTAATTTGATTTCGCATTTTTGATACCTGTGTCTACCGTCGGAAAGGTAAATCAAATAGGAATGATCTAATCTGTTGGGAGAAAGTTGCACCTAGTTTTAAAACCATGGCCATTTTAAAAAGGTGCTATTTTTAACATGTAGAACCTAGTGCTTTTCCTTCTTTTATCCAGGAACTGTTGAAAGCAGAGAAATGGGCAAGAGAAAATAAATATCCCTTTCCAAATATTAAAGATAATCCGGTGGTCAAAGATTCAGAGGTCAAAGATTCTGAAATTCGTGAATGTTATGTATTTGAAGATGAAAATGATCCGAACTGCCCAACAATTTTACATTTTCCAATTGTAAACAACTCATTTCGAGAGTATCTTAGCCCAGGTGAATAAATGCTAAACATACGGATGTGCCTTTTAATGCAATTATCTCAAGTAAGGAAGTATCTTCCATGTATTACATGTGAAGGAAGTACCTTCCATGTGTCACACGTAAAAGAAGTATCTTCCATATGTCACACGTAAAGGAAGTATCTTCCATATGTCACACGTAAAGGATGTGTCTTCCATATGTCACACGTAAAAGAAGTATCTTCTATGTGTCACACGTAATGAAGTATCTTCCATGTGTCACACGTAAAAGAAGTATCTTCCATGTGTCACACGTAAAAGAAGTATCTTCCATGTGTCACACGTAAAATAAGTATCTTCCATGTATCACACGTAAAGGTAGTATCTTCCATATGTCACACGTAAAGGAAGTGTCTTTCTTATGTCACACGTAAAAGAAGTATCTTCCATGTGTCACACGTAAAAAAAGTATCCTCCATGTGTCACACGTAAAGGAAATATCTTCCATGTGTCACAAACAGAGGAAGTATCTTCCATTTGTCATACGTAAAAGGAGTATCTTCCATGTGTCACAAGCAAAGGAAATATCTTCCATTTGTCACACGTAAAGGAAGTATCTTCCATATGTCACACGTAAAAGAAGTATCTTCCATGTGTCACACGTAAAGGAAGTATCTTCCATGTGTCAAACAGAGGAAGTATCTTCCATTTGTCACACGTAAAAGAAGTATCTTCCATGTGTCACAAGCAAAGGAAATATCTTCCATTTGTCACACGTAAAGGAAGTATCTTCCATATGTCACACGTAAAAGAAGTATCTTCCATGTGTCACACGTAAAGGAAGTATCTTCCATGTGTCACAAACAGAGGAAGTATCTTCCATTTGTCACACGTAAAAGAAGTATCTTCCATGTGTCACAAGCAAAGGAAATATCTTCCATTTGTCACACGTAAAGGAAGTATCTTCCATTTGTCACACGTAAAGGAAGTATCTTCCATGTGTCACACGTAAAGGAAGTATCTTCCATATGTCACACGTAAAGGAAGTATCTTCCATATGTCACACGTAAAAGAAGTATCTTCCATGTGTCACACGTAAAGGAAGTATCTTCCATATGTCACACGTAAAGGAAGTGTCTTCCATATGTCACACGTAAAAGAAGTATCTTCCATTTGTCACACGTAAAGGAAGTATCTTCCATGTGTCACAAACAGAGGAAGTATCTTCCATTTGTCATACGTAAAAGGAGTATCTTCCATGTGTCACAAGCAAAGGAAATATCTTCCATTTGTCACACGTAAAAGAAGTATCTTCCATGTGTCACAAGCAAAGGAAATATCTTTCATTTGTCACACGTAAAAGAAGTATCTTCCCTGTGTCACACGTAAAGGAAGTATCTTTCATGTATCACACGTAAAAGAAGTATCTTCCACGTGTCTCAAGCAAAGGAAGTATCTTCCATATGTTACACGTAAAGGAAGTATCTTCCATATGTCACACGTAAAGGAAGTATCTTCCATATGTTACACGTAAAAGAAGTATCTTCCATATGTTACACGTAAAGGAAGTATCTTCCATATGTCACACGTAAAGGAAGTATCTTCCATGTGTCACACGTAATGAAGTATCTTCCATAAGTCACACGTAAAGGAAGTATCTTCCATGTGTCACACGTAATGAAGTATCTTCCATAAGTCACACGTAAAGGATGTATCTTCTATGTGTCACACGTAAGGGAAGTATCTTCCATATGTCACACATGAAGGAAGTATCTTCCATATGTGACAGTTAAAGGAAGTATCTTCCATATGTCACACGTAAGGGAAGTATCTTCCATATGTCACACGTAAAGGAAGTATCTTCTATGTGTCACAAGTAAAGGAAGCATCTTTCCAATGGCAAATTGACGTATATTCAACCGAAAATTTACTATTAAAGTTGATTTCACCTTTCTTTTGAAATTTTATAATATTCATTTGAACATTTAAATATTCTTACAAATATACAAATGCTTGTTTTGTAGTTCCTTCAAACTTGTAGAAAATGATCTGATTGTTTAGTATAAAACTAAATAAAAAATTGACCAATCAGATTATCTGCCGTTAGTTTTGAAAATACACACTACAAAAACGGACATTTGAATGTTTGTACATGTATTTGAATGTTCCAGTCATGTTGTTAAAAGCATGGTGAAATCGACGCTTTTATTAACTTAAACTAATTTTGAACTTTTTATGATTTATACTACACAATGTTAATCCATCAAAACAATCGGGATTTTTTTTTGAAGGTGTGAAGAGAGAGAAAGATGACGACATAGAGTTTGCAAACTTTGGCATTTTTGACGACCCCGATGAACCTTATTCCTCCTTCAAATTTGAATACAAGCCCAAAACGTTCGAAAGATTGCATGAACTAATGAAATACAACACGCTCGTGAGCATTGATCTGATCAAGGGAAAAATAATCGATATTGTAAAGTACAGGCGAAAGCACAGAAAGTATGCTAAGAAACACTCATTAAAGGAAAAAAATGTTAACAATAGTTTTAGTCCCTTCACTTGTATACCAATATACCAAAATAATCCACATCGTATAAACCAACCTAACATTTAAACTATAATTTGTTAGTGCCCGTTTAGAGTGTTAGTAGATTAATTTCTTTATTATATGTTATTTCACAGACTTACATTTGTATTACATAATAAGCGTGTATGTAACTGATGTAGTACTTACGTAGGAGTAAAGCTCATAAATAAATATGATCAAAAGTTCATAATAAGTAATATCTTACATTTACTTTTCGACCTCCAATGTCCTAGCTTTATATTCAGGATGATTTTTAATGTAAGTACTTACGAAAAGATAAAGTTCACAAATAAATATAATCAAAAGTTCATAACAGGTTAATGTTTTACTTTTATTTTTCTACTTCCAATGTCCTATAGCTTTATATACGAGCTGACCTCCTATGTCTTCTATACTAACCTACCTCCACTGTCTCGTCTTTAGACGAGGTTAACTTTAATTTAATTCTACTCTCCGTCCTTCACTGTCCTACTATCACCATGACCTACAGTCTCTTACTTCTATACTAACTTACCTCCACTGTCTCATCTTTTGACGAGGTTAACTTTTATTTAATTTTACTTTCCTTCCTTCATTGTGCTACTTTCACCATGACCTACAGTGTCTTACTTCTATACTAACCTACCTCCACTGTCTAAACTTTGGATGAAGTAAACTTTAATTTAATTCTACTCTATCACTATGTAAATTCTATATATATCAACATGTAAACATGATGGCGTTCTTTAAAAAGATAAAGAAAGAACATTATGGCGTGGATGCTTGGACCAACGACTGGGACATAGAGTAGACAAAAAGGTAGACATAAAAGTAGACATAAATTTTTTCATGCCATGCAAACTATAAGCATTGTGTCTATACAATGACAATATACATAATAAATTTGTTGTTTGATAAAGTCTATGGACTCACACATTTCACGGTACACATGTTGGACCTTTTAATAATTATCAAGATTATAATCATTTTTAAAAACACAGACAAAGCAATCATATTTAAGCCTTTTTTATGATTTTGTAATAATCCACCAGCATCTCATAAGCGGACACCTCCGACAAAAACACACCAAGTCATGATCACAAGGGTGTCCTTATACGGTAAGTTTGATTGCATTCATTGCAATTGAATATAAAAATGCTTTTAAAAAGGCCTATGCCTATATAGAGTAAAGAATGTTCTGAATTTTCTTCCTTGATGTTTCCCATCGTTTCAAAACATTTGCTGGCACCCATGAAACTATCAAACACAATAGTGGTCATTTTACCGGCGTGATTAACACTATCGTACCTACGTCATTGCATTGAATATTCAATTTCATTACATGTTATTTAGCTATGACATGATTTCTTTTGCACGAAATTTTTAAAACATACATGGAAAATTTTTGTTCGTTGTTGTTCCTACAACACACAATACACAGTTAAAAGCTCGTTTTAAAGAGTACCTACCTTAATTAAGCATGTCTCCCGAATATGCGCCGCATCTAAAGTTACAAATATTTGAAGAGCGCCGCACTTTCTTATACCCGTAAATACGGTAATTGAGTTGGTTGATTGAGCTGAGATCAGTTTTTATGGTAAAATACAAACTTGACTGCAAATAAATCATTGTATGTATTGTTGGTATTATTTAACTGTGGGTAAAAAGTGATGACGATAAAAGTTCTTTGATTTTATTATATTTTTAATAAAAATTATAAATATTTAAAATAAAATATATTAATGATATTGATAGTAGGTGACATGTAAACACCTAAGTAAAGATAACCTTAATGACAGTGAAGTTATAAATAGCTCACCTGTGTATTATATTCATAAATTGCAGTAAAAGCTGGATTCATTATCCATCAATTTGCACTCTAGCCAGTCAAACGATTTGTCTTTATTAGCACGTGAGCAGGTGATAATAGCACGTGAGAACACGATGCAAGAATGTGAGTGTTTAGTGCACAAACAAATGAAACGTAATTTAAGCAAGAGCGTACGGATAATAAAGAAAGCTCATGACAATTATTAAGTCTTGACTAAAAAGTGCGTACAAGAACAAAGTTTCACTAAAGAAAAGTGGTAAAGAAATGGATAATTTTATTATCCTATTTACTTTTTTTATATTTACAAAAAGGAAATGTCCGTGGGACTTCACTAAAGATACTTTTATAAAGTTTTTATAAATGTTCCAAATATTTTTATATACGGTGAGTATTATTTCAAATCCACCCACATGTAGGCATTACGTATTTAAGACTTGATAAACATATGCTTGTTAATAGATGTTTTCATAAGTCTAATTCTCGGAAACGTGACAAAGGTTGTTATACATTTAACTCTTCATTTTCTTGAGGATAATTTCTTCTTTCATATCCAGTTTCCTGGATTGGTAAAGTTACCAACTACAAAAAACGTAACAAAATTTAGTTGTGCTTTATAACTGTTTCCAATGTGTTAAAATCTGCTAGGATAACCCTACCATACTATAAAGAAGCTAAAATTTACATATCATATTTTCCTGCTGTGAAAACGTGAGATACCATAGAGTATGTGAGGTAACTTTATCAAGTAAAACTACGATTTTGTTGCAGGTCAACAAAAACCTTTATTATACGTTATGTTTGAATAAAAATTCGTTGCAATTATTATGATATACGCCTTTTCTAAAAAAAATTCCTGCACATATTTTTTCGCCACAAAAAGTAATTACGGACTGTGGGATAGATAAACTGCTCGCAGCCTTAATTCTTTTACTTAGTAACGGTTTATTCAGTCTACTGAAATTACAGTTTAATTGTGTACGGTGACGTAGGCTATTTAATGTTACTTGAGTTAATGACATGAACCGAAAATTATCTATAGTAACTATTCAATTAATTTTGCGCATAACGGCAGATACAATTTCTACCATTTCTTTTTCAATAGTTTTTGTATTTTATGCTTTCGTGCCATCGGAATTGGTAAGGACAGTAACTTGTTGAGAGAACGTTCAGGAGATGCCTAACAATTCGCTCTTGCCTTACAGCTTCTATAACGTTGTATTTTGATTTATCCATAAGATAATCGCAAACAAAACATAATCGCAAGCTTTTCCGCAAGGAAGGAATCCTGTTGTTCCATGACCAAAGTAATTTAGACTTTGGTTCGTTGTTTAGCTATGTCATTAATCAACGATGCTGCTTGAAAAATCACAGACTTTCCAAACGAAGTCTGCACTATTAGACAAACGTTTTGACGAGAAAACATGCCTTAGCGCCTCAATTTATTCGGAATAAAAATTCCTTATTGCGCAAAGCTGAATCCCAGCAACAATCTTTAACAAAATCACAGTAAAGAAATCCATATTCACTTGTTTGCCACAAAAAACCAAAAATAGCTTGGAAATGACAAAAATCAATTTTAAAAAACGTTAATGTGTGAGCCAATCATATTAGTTGAACTATTTAATGTTCAATTACCCAGTGAAAGTAGCTGAATTTTTCCGTGTTAATCATCACCCTACACGATTAGGTCTTAATAAACTGTTACTATGTAAGAAAATTCAGGCTGTGAGTAGGCTATGGTCTATAGCCAGCCTACAAATTTTAGTTCTACAATGTGTAAATTTTAGAATACTGTCATTCTCCGTTTCTTTGAATGCTATTATGAATTGTCAACTTAATATACCCAGATTAAAAATACCTGATGATCTCTTGGCTGTTGGTATTCTTGCACATGTCTTATTTGATCTATATCTCTGCGAAATCTCAATAATCCATGAACAACTAACTCATCATGTGACAGGTTTCTTAATATACCTTCCTGTACAATTGGTCTCCATAACTTTAGTAAATGTAACAAAAATAGATTGGTTGTAAAAAGACTGTTCAATGTAGTTTAAGGTAACCATATTATCGAGAAGCTACACTCTGTAAGAAGTTTCAGACCCAAGTATCTGTTGCAAGCCAAACAAATGTGTGTGCGAGTGTGTGGTACAGTGTATAACATTTTTAATTGCAAAAATATTGTAGCCAAATTTGATATACATTGAAAAGCAATCATACAATCTTTTGGGAGAAAATAGTTGCTATTTAGAAATAACTTACCAATTGTCGAAACAAATTTTCGGCGTGCATTTCACGTCTATGTGATGCATTCCATGGTGACATCTGTGTAAATAGAAAGTAATTGTATTTTAGCTCTATTCCAAGAGTAATAACTCATAGAGACAATAAAAATCTTACGTTTAAAGTTTTGATTTTTAACGAGACGATCCTCTATAGTATAATGGCAGATCGCGCTAAACCCGGCCCAGTCCGTTTCGCATTTTAGCAGGGAGCTGCCATTTATTCAAAGATTAGCCATTCAACAGCTATATTGTTACCAACGCTTCTGGATTTGGCAAGCCAACACGATAGATCGATAGCCATGAAATTGGATAATATTTCTTTCTTCTTTCTCCTTTTTATCATCTCAATAGCCTTGAACATATACATGCAGCTGTGTCTACTGAACCATTAAAAATAACAACTCTACAATGCTTTTATTTCTTGTATATTAGTAGAGTTACATTCTTCTTTCGATATACTATCGTTATTTCATACTTAACGTATTTCCTGTTTCCTTTCCGAGATACATAATTACGCTACCTTTCATAGCGCTGTGCGCTGTACAGAAACATTTGCTAACAAACGCCACGAAATCCTGCCTTAAGAATTTTCCAGTTTTAAGTATCTCTTGTTTTATGTTTTCACTGAAGTTCATACGTGGTAAAACGTATAGGATATTGCTATTAAGAAAGCGGTTGATTCTCTTGTTTGAGTCCCACGATATGAGTTATGAATTTTTATATTAGGTATGCCTTGTTGATTCCTGATTCTTGATGATATTAAGAATGTACACATAGTTATGTTACCTTTCATACATCAGCTTAGAAGCATTTATCATCAAATGCTACGGAGTATTACCATGTAAATCTTCCTGTTTTACGTATCTCATGCTTTAAATTTGCATTGAAATCATACGAAGACACGCATTTAATATTGCAGTTAAGTTGTTCATTCTCTTCTTTGAGTCACACAACGTCAACAAGAGTTGTGAATTTTTAGTCTTGAGATGCCAGTTAGAGAAGAAATAGGACGTTGATGTGGTTCTAACGCTCCTTTTTAGAGATTGTACTTTATCGATCATGTTTTTCATAAATTTTGCTTTGTCAGGTAGCAATAAA